TCCCCGAAAAACCAGTTTTGTAACCAAAAGCAATACAAATTCTGGAAGTAGACACTTCAGGCTATCTTTCCATGTGTGTATCTTAAAACCGATTTTTTGACCGAAAATCACCATTTCTGAGGGGGGGAGGCCCTTAATAGGAAATAAAAGTAAATAATTAAACCTTGTTTACAATGTGGACATTTTCTGATTGTATGAAATGTTAAAAGAATAATAATGTCACATTATCATTCTTTTAACATTTCATACAATTAGAAAATGTGACAACACATTATTATCATTCTACAGAATGAGAGGCTGTGATAAGGAGAAAAATTATACATGACTACAAATCAACATGTCAAAGAAAGTACATTATAGTACTCCTGGGGAAATTATGTCAAAGTTTTATGACGTTGGGTTCGTGCAGTCGTAACATCAAATGCGTGGATTTTCATGTGTGAACTTTCTATAATTTCACACGTGTTCACAAGCGAGAATTTCTTTTCACATGTGTCTACACGCCATTTTACGATGTTCACGTGCGACCACGGTTTATTTCAGAATATTCACGGATGAACACGCTGTTTTATATACTAAAATTTCCCCCGCATTTCAAACATTAAGGAATTGAAAAGTTTCTGATATTATACATCTAGTATTTGCTGTGTTTATATTTTTTTTTAATGAAAGCACGTGCAGTGTTGTGGAACGACTAGAATTGTAAAGCAAACATTTCTCTACAAAATGAGGCGTCTCAAGGCTCTGTACGTTTCTTTGTTTAAAACATAAAAGGAAAATACAAAATGCTTCATCTCATGCTTCATTTTGGAAAAGTCACATTTAGTATTTACCGTTTACTGTTTAAACAAAGAAACGTATAGAGGTCCCAGATACATCATTTTGTAGAGAAACGTTTGCTTTACAATTCCGGACGTTCAGTGTTTCTGATACAAGACATTGATCCAGAAAAATGTATAAATCATTGTTGTGATGAGATTTTCAAACTAAACTGTTTCTTTTGTAGTTATTTTTTTTGTTCAAGTATAAAATAGTCTTCGTTATTTGAATTTAAATTGGTTAAGAAAAACTAAAATGAAAAATTTTAGCTTCGCAACATGAGAATTAGTTATTTCGGCTACACTGAAAAATCTGGTGATCTTGATGTTAAGTTTACACAGTTAATTTTGTTGCGTATTAATAAAAAACAATCAGAATATTTGATTACATTTATTGAATTTAACAAAATATAGAGAAATATACGAAAAAATCTATGTAGTCTTTTCTACGTAACTATAAGTTTTATATGTCACTTTTATCGAAACTACGATATTGTACAGCTACTCTTTTGGTTCTAGAATAAAGAAAAATAGCATAGATTTAATATAATGTAGATAGAATTCACTTACATCTTCTTGTCCTATATGTTCCGAATTGTAAATATCATTCGATTTGCGATGATGTCGTCGTTGATGATCGTCGTCTTCAAATGTTACAGTTTTTGGTCCAGTGGAAATCCATTCTTGTTCGCTACCAGCGGCAATCAAACCATATTTACTTTCTTGAAGGGGTTCTAAATTTTGATCACCCAATGGTTGATCGAACCATCGTCGATGAGTCAGAATACTTGATTCACGTTCAAGTGGTGACATATTATGAGTATCTTTGACGATGTAGTTTTTGTTATTAGAATTCTTTTTAGGATCATTATGTGTATCTTTCACAATATAATTTGGAGTAGTCGACTTTTTAGCACTACTATTTGAAGACTAAAAGTAATAAAGAGATTCAATGATATTTGTTCAGTTTTTGATGATATCTTCGTTTTATTCGTTATAATCTTACTTTTGGTGATGTTATAGAACTTTTTGTAGGAACTCTTGGCACTGTTGGATTAACTGGTGTTTGTGGTTGTGGTTTAAAAAGAATAGGTGATGTTTTATTTACTCCAGAAGTTGGAGAGCGATTATTATTAACTGTTACTAAAGTGAATTCGGCTGGTTGATGATGTATGGGTGATCTCGGTTCGGGTGACCATTGTACTGCTGGTGTAGTAGTTTGTGGTGGTGGTGGTGGCGAATAGTAACCATTTGCTGTTGGACTCGTCATATTTGGGTGATTGTAGTAATACGGAGAGCTAGGAGCTGTTTGAGACGGTATTGTAATTAAAGGAATTGATTGATTATTCATATCTTTTACTTGGCCACGATATGTTGAACCACCATTAGACAATATCAACGATTCTGATGAACCAGTCATAGCTGAACAAAGAAAACGATTACACTTGTTTAAAGATTCACTCAAATATCTTACTTCTGCGACGGTACGTCGGTTGTTGTGAAGTATTATTTCCTTTTATTTGTTGAACTTCTCCATTCGGCAGCATGTAGACGACATCAACCGGTTGCCGATAATTCCCAGTATTTTGAAGAGTCATCGACTGAGGCATTGTATCGTAGGTGAATGCATTTGACACTTCGGGTTTAATAAGTCTTCCAGATGATGTTCTATAATAGATAACTTCTTGAATCATATCATAGTCAACAGCTGATGGATCATATGCTAAGGCCAGCTCTGTGGTTGTTGGTTCTGTTGCGTTGATTCCTGTTGATTTCATAATCGGTTTTTTGATAATAGGAGGTGGCGTTTTTACGACTGTCGTAGGTCGAGTAGGAGGTGGTGGTGGCGCCGGTGTTGGTTCAGATGAACGAAAAGTAGTGACGACAGATTGTCTTCGTTTTCGTTGATCGTCCATGAACAATTCATGCTGATGATCTTTACATCGGCACCATCTGTAAAGTAAATGATTTGCTTCACATGAACCACAATTTGTTACATGATGACGACATCCACACGGTTCTTGATGAGCTTGTTCGAGTGCTTTTACTTCCCAATGACGTAAATGATAAATATCATGCTAAAATTAACCAAAGAATACAACTTAATACTTTAAATAGTGTGAGGAATTAATACGAAACCTCATGGCCATTAAGGGTAAGTCGCTTTCTTCGTTTCTTCTTTTTCTTTTTTTTTGGTTTTTGTTCTTGATAGTTATTTGCCGAATACCACGGTTTCACTCCATCTAAATCTTCAACAATCAAATCGTTGTTTTGTTTCGTATTCGTCTTTGTTGCTTTTGCTGTTGTGTCTGATGATGGTAGTGGTTTATTTTCCTTTTGTTCTTGTTTCGTATGTTGTTTTTGTTTTGTTGGTTTACTCTTTTTTCCACTATTTGGATCTCTTGCTTCTATTTCAGATTGTTGTTTTGCACTTGTTCTTTGCATATATTGTTCCAAATTAATATTTGATCCATCCATGACTTTACCTTCGAATTCACCGGCGGAATTAATTTGTATTAGAGGTGTTTCGCGATCTTTTCGATCTTGTTCTCCTTCATCGTCTGTACTATCAACACTTTCAATACCATCATCTTCATCATCCGTTTTTATTTTACTTAGCTGATCTGAGAGAAGAGAAGTCGATTGTTCTAAAAAAATTTAATCTTGATAAATTATATTTTCATCAATAGACAAAGAAATTTCGTACCGTACGGTGATACTGTTAAACGTCGTACATTATACGGTGGAGTATCGCTTGGTGTTATTGACGGTCGCTTTTCAACTGGAGAATTTTTCTTGTTTTCTAGTCGATTTACCTGACATCATTTAAACAAAATATAGTATTTACTACCCATTTTCTTGCTTCATTCACGCAGCGATCACGTTAAAATCGTGCAACTCGTGCCGCGATCGCTAAAAAGTCGCTGTCGTCGCGTCACGATCACGACTAACTCTTAATTTAGAAAAAATTGTAATTCGGGATTTTGACGTGACACTTTTTTCTTATAGTGATTGCGGAGTCGTGCCGCGAACGCTAAGAAGTCGCTGTTGTCGCGGCACGATCGCGATGAAGTCTTTTCAAAAATTTGTAATTCGCGATCGTAAAGCGACAATAGCGACTTTTTAGAGATCGCGCTGCGACTTCGCAATCCGAACGCGATCACTGTAAGAAAAAATTGCCACGTCGCGATCGCATTTTTCTTACAATTGTGACATGATACAGCGTCGCGGCGCGTCTTCCGTGCAAATCCTATCAACCGTTTTGTTTACGCGTCTGGTATATAACTCCTACTGATTTTTTGAAAATTTTCAAAATCTTATAACATCTTAATAATAGCTTACGACATGGCTAAATATAGTCTTGCATAGTCGCGTTGCGCGTATGCTGTTCGTCTGAGTTCGCGATAAAAGTAGCGTGGCTTATTTACTGATATTAGTTGAAAAACGCGAATGAATAGTAACTATAGTAAAATACTTGAGAGTCATTTGTTTTTGTATGAGCACGAAAAAATAGCAATCGCCAAAGATCACGTCTTATTTCGCGAGTCTTAGAGCGAACGCGTTACACGATTCTGCCGCGAATTTTTAAAGAGACTCGCGTCGTGACATGTGGTAAGAAAGTGGACTTGGGATACAAATGCCAATTTTTTTTTACCTGTTTTATAAGCATATCAGCCAATGACTCTGGTAATGCCGCTGGTCCAAGAAATCGTGTCGGAATACCTTTTGTTGGTTCAATTTTGATTCTACATAGAAATAGAGTAATAAATAGTAATAGTATACATAATTTGAATAGGACGTTAATTTAGAATAAATGAGTTATATACTATGAATATTGTTTGCCCTCAACTGATTGGAGACGAAACGTTTCACAAAGAATTCAGAACTTAAAAAAAGGTTTCATATCAAGATTATCTAATCTACTCAACCGTTTTTCGTATCATCATCTGCAAAAAATGTGACAAAAAAATAATTTTCTATCTATATCTACTAGTAGGTAGTTTATCGTATAGTATTAGAATATATTAACTATTGAAATATATTACCATCTATTCGTTGTAATCGATCAAAGCACTTAATAATAAAGAAAAAAAACGTACTTTTTCAATTTTAAAAAAAAATATATATTGCATCAAACTTCTTTTGTATGCTAAGCCTGCGGTAACTTATTTGAATTATCATGAAATTATTTTTAATGTGACCAGTCATATAAGCTGGAATCTTTACTAATAGATTTTTAAACAGCGAGTACACCATTTTTTGTTTTTAAATTTATGTTATATGGAGAAAAAAAAATGGTCATACCTTACAAAACTGACTTTATTTGTTCCATCATCTACTAAACTTTGATTATTGATATTATCATGATGATGATGATGTTTATAATCATGAGAGTGATGATTATGTCCATCATCTTTCTCATGTTGAAATGATGTAATATGATTTTTTGAATTATTAATATGTTCAGGATCATAACAACACGAATGATATTTATGTAATTGAAAATATTTTGCATCTTTTATATCGGGAAAATAACATTGTAATAATTTTTTTACATCTTGTCGTGTTAACTGTTTTTTCTTACTCAATGCATCAATTTCTTCGATTGTTAATGGTTTTTGTTGTTGTGAATATTCATACTTCTTTTTTGCATTAGATTTTTGTTGAACACCAATGGGTTTGACATAAATATGTGAATTACGACACATATAACATTCAGCATCTGGATCATGTTTACGAAGATCTTCATTGAATAGAACAGTTTCTGGTTTTGAGGTTCCTATATCAACCATGGCTATATTTCTACTCACTCAAACAATCACCATTATTAGAGTGGATAAATCTGAAGACGAAGGAAAATATACTAATAAGTTAGAATTAGAGAGAGAGTCACACTTGTCAGTTTATTAAAATCAATAGTTAAATATAAAATTTATCAAAATCATCCCTTAGTGCTCACTTGATTAACAACAATTATATATTCAAGAACGTTCGATATGCAGTAAAGTGAATTACAGTGTAACCGTACAGTACGTACGTAAAGTTTAAAAGTAAACAATTGATAGACTAGATCGAGAAAATCAAGCTTTACCAAGCATTTTTTCATTTGTCTTACCTGATGAATTCTGCATATGTATCATTTATTGCATTTTCTCGATTTGTTTGTTGTTGTTGTTGTTTTTTAATAGACAAAGTCATCACCATTTGAATAAACGATATACTTTAAGTGTTTCAGAACCATTCATTAGCGAACAAAAAACACTTCAAAAAAGTTTTCATCACTTAAGGAAAGAGTACACTTTATTTATTTTGTGATTAAATTATTAACAAAAGATATAGAATGTGTTGTTTGTTTAAAAACAGAAAAGAGGTTCGAAAGATGTTATTACACTGCATCACGTTGATTTGTGCATTTCATTGATAGCTTTGTTTTAATTTGAATATAATATATTTCAATAAAATAGTGTGATTTACTAATTGTTACAAAATCACAATTTACTGTCACTCTTTTTCTAGAAAAACTTACAACATTCAGGAGCAAATATTTTTATATTTGAGTAACTATAATATATATTTGAGTGTATATAATTGAGTAACTATCAGTTTGACTCAATCACTAACGTAAGTGTTGAGATAAAATGATTTGTGATTACTGGTAGAAAGGCTTAAATGTTATTATATGAATACTATTGATAAATGTGCCAATTTCAAATATCTACGCTCAAATTCGGCTAGTTAGTGGAATATGAGTTCATTTTAGTATGTTTAGGAAAGATGGTTAGAAATGCTGTTACTAAACATTTCTAAATGAATCATTTTCCTAGAGAAGCGTCTTGTAGCCAAGACCTCAATAATTCTTGAATCGCTGTTTTGTATTATCTTCTTGTTTACATATAAGTGCGATCATTTTTGTACTTAGAATAACTTCAAAATTTTCCCCCTCTTAGACATAGCAATTCAAAGAAGTGCACGTTTTAGTTGAAAAATATCTCATTTTGTAGCTCAGATCATCCTCTCTCAAAATTAAAATTAGATTCTTTGCTTTTAAATTCGGCAGACCAAAATTAAAATTTAAGGTTTCGCTAGGCAAAAAAAACTAGAAATTTTAGCTAGAAATTGTCGAATAAATTAGACTAACAGAACTCAGTATCCATTATGAGATATGGAATTATAAGTTAACTTGTATTGATTTGGGATTAGGCTAGTCGAAATTAGAAATGCCTTTGGAAAAATACACATTATAAAAGTCGCATGCGCAATAACGACAGAACAATGAGATATAGAGAATGTATATTGAATGGAATGGGGAAAAGAAACAAAGACGACGTTAGATATGAATAGACCTTCAGTTCTATATAAACAGCTTTTTCCGCCATTGCATGTTAGATTTTGATTTTTTCTCACGTCTCTATTATAAGACTGTTTTTCTAAATTGTTATTCATGGGCTTATCCGTTGGTCGCTAAATCAGCTGGTTCAGTTGCAAAAAAGCTGCCTGAATTATTTTTTACATTTGGTCCCCGAAAATGTTAGATTCGGATAATAGTGCAGAATTCATCACCGATGTCATCACTGCATTAAAATTATTATTTCCTGATATGTGTTTTGTTAGAGACCGGCAAAACCAACCGAAAGATATACCCACTAGAAAGAGAGGTTGTGACAAAGAATCGTCACAGCGTGCTTTGTGATTCTTTAGGTAAACGGATGTCAATTCGAAGCATTTGTCAGATGGTCTGTTGTGCATGGAATAAATTCATGTGTGGCTTGTGGCACTAAATGTAAGGTGCCGGTAATTCAAAGTTACAGCAGGAAAATTTTTTTTCGCTCTTTTTGGCATGGTTGCATAGAGCTCATCGAGTTGTGTCGGAAAATCCCAGTCTGACATTTTAAGAAGTCATCTTTTAGTGAAAAAATTTAAATTATTAAAAATACTCATTTTTTGACAATAAGCAATAGTCCGTGAAATTTTCGAAAGCAAGCAAACTTTTCGTATT